ATACGCTAGATATGTTTGCACAGTTGAGAAAGCAACATAATTAAATTTTTCATAACACTACCAATAAAACTCACGAATCAAGTCTAACTAGTCTATTTTAGAAACACAACCTCGATCTGCAATGGACATACTTAGAGAAGTACACTCAATTGATATGCGCTGTTTATTCTTCACAATAAAAGATACTTCCTAACACTTTGGATCATCCATTATCCACGTATCTAAAGCTCTTACGAAATGTTTTAGTACGAGGAGATTTACCGCATTTCAGACATATCTGTGTTTAACCATAATCAGCAATTTAGAAACCTTGAAAAGCCAACTTCGGCTAATCAGCCGGAATAAAATCAGTCTCTTGACTCAAGTGTTGTTATGTCTGAGGTTAAATACGGAAACGTGCTTGGAATAATAGATTGATTCTTTTGAGTTCCGAAGCTTCTGTAATTTGTAAATCTAGTAGGATAGTGGTTCATGATTTTAGTTTTTTGGTGGAGTTTAATAACTAAAGATCTATGCAGTTATTGCATTTCTTAAATTGTCACATTGTTTCGGAAGTTAATTTAATAGCTTTTGGATTACTTTACTTAATGAGTTCTTGTCGAACTCACTTTCACCGTGAAATTCCATTGGTTGCTGATTCAACGCGTTTCAAGTATGACTGTGTTTGCTAAAACATATCAATTTGAGTAAAACATAAGTTTAGGTCGTTAATTTGTGTTAGGTGACAACTTACGAGATGAACCTTCTCCTTATCACCCAACAATTTAGTTATTATTCACTAGTTCTATTTTTTAACAGTAGTTTTTAATTTAGTGTAATTTAGTTGAAACAACGAACGCTTGCAACAATAAACTCGTCAGGCGAAACTAGAGTTTTCGTTAGTTTGCGTTTTTCTCACAGGACTTAAGATTTTTTTATAACTGCGTCCTACAACTGCATGTCGTAGCGCTAACTATGAATGTAGAGGTAATAAAGTACATTTCTCAAAGATTAAAAAAAATTGCACTGCAATTTGTAGTGTTTGAAAAATTTGTTCAATGCTTTTGATTCCAAGCTGCACTAGAAAAATCATTAGATTACTTGTCAATGATATACATGCAATTTTATTTCAACTTTTTGCACTCAATTTGAATTTTCTGCACTGTTTGGAATTAATTGACGTTCTCTCAGCCAATCAGCATGCCGAAATTTTGTATCGTATATTATTTTGCTAAGAATCAGACACTTATACAAATCCCCTTAATCGTATATTACAGCGACAGGGCTTGTAAAGCTTTTTTGTTAAAGTTTATTGAGTGAATAAACTGCTGTTGGAACCAAAGCCGAGTCGTTGCTGTTCTTGCCTGTCCAGTTCGTGATTAGATCCCGGAACCCAGCAGTGCTCATGCGAGTGCTGTGCCTCGTTTGAATCTAATTTTTCCCACTAGACTGGTCGTAGTTAACTTGTTATGGCACTGACATTCAGAGTTCGCCAGGTTTCAGTTTTCGCCAGCGATTTTCAACACAGTCAACACAAACCGTTGTTCGCTGAATCTTTGCCCCATTGGGGTTAATTCCCATATAAAAAAGGACGGCAGTGCTTGTCGCACCTTTAAAGGGTTAAGAAAGCATTTTCGGTACCTCTTAGGGTGCTCAGCTTAAGAAAGGTCCACAGCGAACGTGTAGGGCAGTTGAGTCGAAAAAAAAAAAAACATGACGGGAGATATTTGACAATCAACTGATTTTTAATTTTATTTCATGAAATCGTCTTTATCGCCAAAACATTTTCTACTTAGATAATTTACCATCAAAGTATTCGATTTTATGTACAACTTCCATTAAACAGGACAGAGATTTAGGACGATGCTTTCATAAACTTTACGAGTAGAGGGTATTCGAAGCAATCGTCTTCATCTATTTATCGTTATTAAAAATTGTCAGTTTATGTGCCGTTTTAGAATTGGTACCTTTTAAGCCACGCCCACAAAACAGGATCTTGGTACCTCTGAGGGATTTTTTCAGAATTTCCCAATAGCACCCCCGTCCTTTTTATATGGGAGTCCCCCCCGGGTAATGTGGTTCAATTTCACCATTTCACCACCTTTGTTTTATAATCATTATAATATATTAGCATACATCAGAACAAAGGAAAATACAAAATTGCATCAAGGGTAAAATTGAACCAAAACGTAACATACGACAGAGATAGCTCTAAAATTGTCTCAGTAAACAAACTCGTCAATTGAATTATAAGCTTGTTATGTACGGCTTGTTATAGATATATAGCCAGGTCTCAAACTAAAGCAGCACACAACAGGCAAAAAACGTTTATTCTCTGGTACACAAGATCACAAGCTTTGATTCATTTCGCAAAGACAAAATCAGTTCAATCACACATTTTAACAAAGCATACATGATTTTTACGTTGAAGCTTACAAGGAAAAGAAACGGTTCGTGTTGGTGACTTTGGTAAAACAAAGACGCGGTCGGTTTATTTCGTTACAACCGGTGGCTTTTTCGCTAACGGCGCTGTATTGACTTCGTATGGGGGCTGCCCGTCCTCGTTCCTCGTTAAGGGCGTGGCAGGTAGTCCCTCACCTTTGCTCAGTGTTTATCTGTCTTCGCTGCTTACAATACCTAGTAAACCAAGCTCAGCCAAATTTCTGCGTGGTAACATCGAAAATTTATCTACCTTCATGAATCAGAGAGCACAGAATAAACTTAAATCACAGCGAAATTCGCTCAGTCTTTAAATGCGAATTTTGCGGACCTTGGTGGTTTTTGGTCCGCGGTTGAACCTCAACAAGAAGTTGGACAATGCAGATTTCTTCTCGGTTCTTTTCCAGGTCTCCTCCGAGGTGTTAGCTTCTGTCAAATCCACGACCATTTCATTTGTAACGCGAACACCACTCGCGCCAGGAACATTGTCTTCGTTTGAAAACAGGTCACATGACGATCCGTCTGAATTACATACGTTAAAATCGTCCGTAGTGGGCGAGTTTAAAACGTTGAGAAACTGCGACAGATCCGTGCCTAATGACCAGGAAGACTCACGAGTATCGTCTATATCGAGTTTGACTTCTTTTCCTGTTTTATGATCCCACTTCTGGCGTGAAGTTTTCAGCGTCATTTTACCATCTTCTTCTACCAGATTTTCTGACGCAGTGTAGCTGATCTCTTGGTATCTGTACTTGATGGCCGCTCGCGGTGTCTTTGCGCTTGTCTTACTCCAAGCCTCGTCTTTTTCAGCTGCTGGCGCAACTTTGTTTCTCTTGAATCCTCTCTTTGCACGTCTCTTACCATTACAATTCGTTTCTCGTTTCCCCAATCCTCCGCCGTCATCGACTTTGTCATCCGCCCCAGCAAGCGAACTCATCACATTGTGCAAATCATTTTCATCGGCCGCCTGAAGTTTCTTGACTTTTGATTTACGAACAATTCGAACACCGAAACGACTGTTATTCGTTTTTTCAACGCCAAAGTTTATGAAGTACAAGAAAAAGTACAACACAAAAGGTATCCTGGGATATACACGCGACATCTTTGCATTCGATTTTTCTTCAATTTTTCACAATATGCTCTGATGACGTCTGTGTGCGTAACAAATGTCTACCGAACTATTAAAAAGCGCGCGCACGTTTGCTTTTTTAGAATCTTTAGAGCCCGCAACCAAGTTTCACTTCTTAAACTACTCTACTGATGGGGGAGTTTGATGGGGAGAATTTCTTAACATTTTCAGTCAACTTTATATTTACTCACTGATCAGTTTCATTTAAAGGGACCAACGCACAAGTGTGCTTGTTATTTAACAATTATTCACCGAAGTGGAGGTGAATAGTGGTGGATATTTACCGAGCCACGAAGCGCCAGTTTAATATCCATCACTTTCACCGACACTGAGGTGAATAATTGTTTTAGTATATACCACACAAGCTGAATAATTAGCGGACCAAAACGTTATTTTATGTGTGACAAGCGGTCGGAAATTCTAAAATCTCTCGCGCTGGCTGCTCGGGGGTGAATAGTACTTGCTAATCACCTCCGATTTAACCAATCAGGGCGCGCGAAAAGCACTATTTACTTGTGTGGTATATACTAAATGGGGTTATTGACCAAGCGTGATGTCAAGATGGCTGGATTATTTTATGACGAAATTGTACATTATTATTATTATTATTATTATTATTGTTATTGTTATTATATTATTATTATTATTATTATTATTATTATTATTGTTATTATTATTATCATTATTATTATCATTATTATTATCATTATTATAATTATATTGGCCTAGTTGTTTTTATTTTTTTTCCGTGCTTATGGACCTCGGTCCATAAACATGCAAAAAAAGAACTTGGCCAATATCCAGCCATCCTGACCAATTATGGCTCCTGGCAAAAGGCATATTTGAAAATTAACTTTTTACAACTTGGCCGTGATACACATTCTCTCAGTGCGTAGTTCTGTTATTTCACAACAGAAGATACAAAATGGAACTTACCAGTAAAGCCAACTAATAGTTTGTGTATTTGCTGTATATGTTGTTGTTGTTACATGTCAATCTTTTTTTTCTGTGATTTGAATTTTCTATATGGGTATTAAATTTCGCGTGTTTAAATGTCGCGAGGATTTTTATTCGTGGGTCTTTAATTTCGCAATTTATTTACAATCGCGGAATTTTAAAAAGACCCGCGAAATTAATTACCGGTAAGGCACATTGTATTAGCAGTTAAAAATAACAGGCTCACCTCGATCGCGGCACGAAATTCCGTCGCAACCCGCTCGCGTGCGCGTGGCATACATATTATCGTTCAACTTTCCTGTCAGTAGATAGTCAACCAGATTCATGTCACGCACTATTTGTATAAGACAATCTTACCTTGATAATCTGCAATGGACAAAGCAGATAACGTGACTTGCCACCATGTTTGCAATCGCGTAAGACTACTTAAGCGCGCGGCGCGATCGAGGTGAGCCTGTTATTAAAATGTCCTGTTATTAACTGCTAAGACAATCTACCTTATTCATACATTTTATTTCCTATAATCTATTTCTTTTTTCGGGACGAAATAAATAAATAAAAAAAGAAAACAATTGGTTTGACTCGTGGTTGCCTCGTGACTCGAGGTTGGATTGGCTTGAGTAACGCTACGACTCGATTGATGACCGGCAAATCAAGATAATCGAATGCTCTGGGAAAGTCGAAAAACCAAGGCAATTCTCGCTGCTTAGAGGTTGTATTCGTCTGCATAGACATTCGCTATTTTTCAATATCGTGTTTCAATCTTTTGCGACCTTCTGTTACTGGATATGCGATTTCATTCTCAACTATATGTTCTGACAAAAATCCTCTCTAGTATGCTAGTAGAAAGCTAAGGTAAAACAGCTTTCGGTTTCTCATTATTTCATTAATCTGATGCTTTCTTCACTTCTAACATTTTATATTTTTAACAGAGCAAATAAATTCCTCCATGGCAAGTGAAAATCCCGTACAAGAAACGGAAGGCGAATTCCGGAACAGTAAAGCTCTGTTTGTGAAAGGAGTAAGGATGCCTCACATTTACGTTTACTTAACAGGATTCAAAGATTTCATCGAAAATTTCCAAACTCGACATGATGATGTTTTTATAGTCGGTTTCCCCAGATCAGGTGAGTCAAAAGAATTTGTGTGTTAAAAACGATCGCAACGTATTGGACCGGAAATAGACCTGTGGTATGTTGTTATTTGTTTACTTATTTATTTTGTTTGATTATTTATTTGTTAAATTACCATCATCATCGCCATCGTCATTATTATTACTATATGTATTCATCTTGAGTAAAAATAAAAAACAAACTGCGGTCACAAACATAACAAAACAACGTATGAAAGGCCACAGGATAAAATGGGATCACTTTAACATTTTAGCCACCGGACGATCTGATGTGCATTGTAAAGTTAAAGGAACCTTATTGATTCGTGATTTGCAACCAGCACTTAATGAAAATGTTGGCAGTGAGAAACTTCTTCTTTACTAGCCATTTATATGTTTTTTGTTGTTGTTGTTGTTGTTGTTTTTTTTTTTTGCAGATTTTAAGTCTGTTTAGTTTCATTTATATCTATTGTCATTTCTTTCCTTATTAAGTACCGGTTTTCCTTATTAGGTACTAGTCTTCTAGTTTAAATTTATTGTAATGCAGCCAACCGTTTTATACTTCTGATGATGTATGTAGAAGCACACGAAACGTTAAGTTCTCAAATCGAGGTTTTTACAACATGCATTGTTTTTTAGGTTTGTGACCGCAGTTTGCTTTTTATTTTTACTCAAGCTGAAATGGCCAAAGAATAGAGTTTCTATGTATTCATCTATTAATTAATTAATTAATTAATTTATTTATTTATTTATTTATTTATTTATTTATTTGTTATATTAGTGAACTTTGTTTTTGGGATCTTTCTCTCTCCCTTACCCCGTTAAGGGCCTGTTGAAACGCGAATAAGAACAGAAAGGCTCAGCGCACGACCGAGCTAGATTGTCAGCTTTGCTTCCTACGTCATAAATTATTGCAGTTACTTTAGGTTAAAATATTTTGTACCAAAGCCCATTTAATCATTGCAACTTGTGTTATTGCGCTTTCATTTGGTCCTTATGTATAGGAACCACGTGGCTTCAAGAGATCACGTGGGAGATCTTTAATGATGGAGCAACTAGCACCAAACCTATCGGTCATAGAGTGCAATTCTTTGATGAAGCCAAATTCCCCCACACCACCCAGCCTGACATCACCACTCAATCCAGTCCCCGCCTAATGAAGACTCATCAACCATTTCATGCAATTCCCAAAGGAACATGTGACGCCTCAAGATGCAAATATATATATGTTGCGAGAAATCCACGCGACGTCGTGGTGTCGTATTATAATTTCGAAAGCAAAATGGCGCCACTGACTGGTTATTCAGGACCTTTTGAGTTCTTTGCCGACATGTTTATAAAGGGAGCAGGTAAGGAACGAACATTTCACATTTTTTCATGATGTAGTATTTTGTCAG